TGCGGAAGAGGGGGCGAGTATATAACAAACTATATTTTGAGTGGAAATGTTGGGGGGTCGTCTTATACGCCGGGTCTTCTTATACGCCGGCATATACGGTAATAAAATACATTAACAAACATATGGAATTAAGGCACAATGCAATATGTCATTTAACTTACAAGTATTAATTATAGGAAATGGACTCTGCACAGAAAACCTGGAAGTGGATGACACAATCATTGATGCCTCAGACATTTTCCTTTTACCAGGGGTGGTCTTGAAATAAAATGAGAAATATCATTTAACCTAGCATTCATACATTTAATCAAATATCACAAAACAAGATTTCTTTTCTATTTAAAAGCTTAAACTACCTTGGTTTGTCCTGTTTGGAAGTCCATCTCAGTTGTTTTTTTACTTTGATTTATCTCTGCCTGAGGATATCGATGTTGAGAGGAGAAACTATTTTTTTCTTCCTGTAATTTACATTCTTTCTCTTTCATAGGTGATATCTGACTTTCTGGTACAAGAACCTAGTCATTTCAAATATTTTTTTAAAAATCCCATTATTACTATGCTTTCAAATAAACTCCAGCCATCAATGAAGACATTTATATTATAAAGTAGTTGGGCTTTTCTAGATCTTTTGAAACCCTAGCCCTGATCCGTAAAATTTTAAGGATACTAGCTAGTGATTCCCTTACTCTGGTTATCCCATGCAATACATTTCCCCCCCTACGATACTGGTAATTGTCTGATTTTTTTTTTTAGATCAAAAAACTATTGGATGACTGGTCAACTGTTTGACTTACTGACCAGTGGATGGCAGCAAAGAGAGAGGAAGGGTGGTAAGTGGGCTACATAAACCTCCCATCAGCTTGCCTGGTACCTTTCTCCTTTTATTCTAAAATTCCCCATTAATTTCATATGACATTAGTATAATAATGCGCAGAAGTATCATGGTTCAGAATAATCAGCCTGTAATTTCCAATTGTTAAAAATTAACTTCACTGTTCTAACAGAGAAATCCTACATACTGGGATCCGATTGTTTGCTGAATAGGGGTAGGATTAATTTTCTAAATTAATGGGAGGTTTTTATGAAAGGCACGTTGACAAAAAATAATAAAATCTACTGTATACCATCTGTAGCTTCAAAATTTGCATTCCATATGTATAGCCCAGACTGAACACATGTACTCAATATTTATCATTGTAACTTAAATATTTACCTGTGATCCACTTTCATCAAAAACTACATGTACTGTTGTTTTTGCAACTGACACAGTATTCTTCCTTGTAAACACCTGAAGCAATATATATAGGCAAAAAAGGCATTACATAAAAAGTTCATATTTCTTCTACTTTATGTCATAACATGACATATTATGATAAAAATGTGATTCAATTGGTTTTGTTGCTTTCTCTTTCACTTGGGAAACAAATCCTCCTTATTGCAAACATTTACAAAATATTTTTTCAATTCTTTCATTTTAACCTTACTTGAAAGTAACACTGCAATTCAGTATTTTTTTTTTAACAACTAGATGTGAAGAGTGTGTGTGCATGTACACACACATGCACACCTTTAAGTCAGCGTTGACTCCTGTCAACTACCTGGACAAATCCCTGCAATTTTTTTAAAGAAGATTTCAGAATTTTTAGATCTTAAAGATTCTGAAACCTTAGATCTGAAATCTTAGATCACCTAGCTGGCCTTGTGCCTAAGGCAGGACTAAAACTCACAATCTCCCCAGTTTTTAGTCTGATGTCTTAAGCATAACACTAAACTGGCTCTCTAGATGAAAAGTATTGATGACTTATTATTTGATATGGTAATTCAAAGCGCAGGAATATTATATGATTTATTGGTTTTAAAATGTGATCAAATGTATATCTCATTCTTTCTTTATTTTATGGCTGTGATTCAGGCAATAACTGCTGAAATTATGCTATCTTCAACTGTGTAGATAGAGATAAGTACAACCAACTACAAATATAAACAGTTGTTAATCATTTTTATTCCACAAGAGAAAAAGATATTACCTGACATTTTGTTGCTTCATAAACTTTTCTTACTGCATCCATAATTTCCAATGCAGAATCGAAATGCAAGATTATTTTCTCCCCTTCCTGGGCACCAACTGACATTGGGTTGTTTAGATGTACCATTAACAATTTCTCTTTTTCTTTTTCTACACAGAAATAAAACATATTCTTTAATTGTTTATTTGGAAATAACATATTTGCTTTGCAAACATTAAAAACATATCAATAAAATAATAAAAGTTTTTTTTCTGAAATAGAAATAGCAATTTTGAATATCATACTTATCCTTAACATTCTGAAAATAAGAAATACATTAAAATAAAAAAATACCTTCAATTATGTAGGTCCTAACATCTTCTTCTGGTATGCACACAGTTTCCCACTGTTGACCCTAGAAGTTAAATGTATGAAAAAAGTATTGTTTACTGTTATAGATTACAGCTGAAGATTTAGTGTAGTATTTCCAAATTATAGTTCTTCAGGATGCCAACTGTTTGTCAGTAGTTTGTGTTAATGATATTAACTTTTGTCTCTGGTACAGGTTTTCTTTCCCAGCAGATCAAAACAAGAATGTGGATTTGATAATAACTTTCCCAAAGGAAAGTTTAGCTAAACATAGGATATATTTTTTTATGTATACACAATGTTACAGATTAAAATAACAACAGTTATGAAACTGTTCTTCATCCCTCTTTTTTATTCCCAGATAATATGGACCTTAGATGAGCAAACAGTTGGTTTTGAAAAGGAATAATGTTTTGCCTGTGAATCAAAGGCTTTTTCATGTTATAAGCAGTAAGTATTAAGATGGAATTAAACAGCTAAGTAGATTAATCACAATGACATGGCAGTATGTGAGATCAAATTAAATAGTCACTAGTAAGTGCTCTGGCATGCCAATAGAATGAAAAAAAAATTCCAAAGTTGATATGTGGTACTTAACATCAGGGACAGAGGTGGTATTCAGCAGGTTCTGACTAGTTCTGGAGAACCGGTAGTAGAAATTTTGACTAGTTCGGAAAACCGGCAAATACCACCTCTGACTGGAGATTTTATAGTATCCTTCCCCTGCCATGCCCACCAAGCCACGCCCACAGAACCGGTAGTAAAAAAAATTGAATCCCACCACTGATCAGGGAAAAATAAATCTTTTGGAGACTATCTAGATCCCATTGTCAGCAATATGGACACTTTAGGAGGACTTTAATAACACCAGCCAAACTAAGCAGAAAACACTTCCAGAGGTATCAAAAGACCATTAGAATGTATTTGCCTGAAAAATGTATTCTAATTTCCATTCCAACCTTACAAATTGGGAAAGCTGCTTAAATATTCACTCTTAGCAGCCAATTATCTCCTCATGACACTGTGCTAAGTATTAGATCAGTCATTTTAGTTCGTTCTGCCCAACCCTGAAAATCAAATCCTAAATATGCTGTCAGTGGTTACCATGACTTGAACAAAATAGAACAGGTTCATCATATACATGAAAAACCCACTGGATCACCCATCAAGGAATCATCAACAATAAAACTTAGATCATAGATGTCATGCTGGTAAGATGATTGCTGTATAATGGAATGCCTAAGCAACAGCAATGGAAAGGGACTGATCTTCATCAGGAAGAGAGGGAGCATATATGTATAATGTATTATAAACTTAATAATTATTTAATTTGAAAGGAAGTATGCATCTCCAAAGAAAACCCACTGAGAAATAGGTTGATATTCTTTACTATGTATACTTTAAAAACCATGGATTCTTTTTTATGTTTTAAATATGATCATATTAAAACTTAACTAGCAAGTTGTAGCATAGAAGGAAGGAAGGAAGGAAGGAAGGAAGGAAGGAAGGAAGGAAGGAA